ATTTTTTTGGGCCGCCACCGTAGACAGTTGATCTCACCGTAATGTCCCCTTTTTTCTAATTATAGATGCAGATAATATTCTACTCTTGAACTGAGAATCTCCCCCCACACCCTCCTGCGTCTCATCACAATGTTAAGTGGATATGACACCGACTCGTTGTTGTTTATGTTGCTGCGGTACAAAATGAGTGTATTGTCAATATGAGAACCACCCCCACTGGAATGATGCTTAGAAATTTTGAGACCGTCAATAGCAGACCACGAAATCGATTCTCGATCAGGACTAATTACGACTAATATTTACGCTCATTTTTGACTTTACAAATTATGTCTATTGGCCTGTGGCTCGTGCATATGGGCGAGTTGTAAATAGGAAGTTACATTCGTAATGAGTTCCAAACCAACTTTGCACACATATTTTGGTTGATCAGAGATCAAGCTGTTAACGAATGCTATTTTCGCATAGATCGCCTACAATGTTTTCCGCAAACTCTCAATTGGAGCTGTGGGGTTGATACAGTAAGTAATGCAGAAAACGAAATTTGCATTACTCGTAAAGTTTCCGTGGCGTCCCTCAGGTTTATCTATTTATCAAACTTTGGTTGGAGCGATGAGGTTGGTAATGACAGTAGCTGCATGCTATTTAGAAAAGGGGGTTAAGATGTTGTGAGTCAATGGAACGGAATATTTAGCTTTATCTAGTTTATACGAAAACCCAAAAAATCCCGAAGCGAGTGAAACAGTTTTTGACAGATAGAAGAATGTAGATGTAGCAAATTTCTTTACATGGGAAAATAACTTATCCAGTAACATATAATCTGTTTTGGCCTTGAGTATGGCGTTATCACACGTCACTAGCATATGACAAGGATGGGGGTGGTGGTTTAGAACCCTCAATTTTATCAATTACATATTCTCCAGAGTAACAATAGAGTACGGTTCCCAGTAGCAAACATATTTACGCTTCAAAAAAAAGCATTTTTTTTCCTGCAGAAGTGGTGTCGCGGTCAAAAATTACCATCATATAGGGTGTCCCAAAAAGATATGTTTACTATTAGGTTGGTGCAAAAGTAATGCGCGTTTTGCGAGTTTTCACTTTGACGTGCTATAACTTGCTAAAAAATCCATATTTTTCAACGCGGCAAAATCCATCAGAGGCAACAAACCTCTCTCTATACAGCGCATTAATTTGTGCTAACGTCGCAAAACGGTGAAAAAATATGGATTGAAAAGCAAAAAAATTTTTTTTCGAAAACCTCGTTTTTAACTGATCATAACTTCCTTCAAGGTTTGTTGGTATAAATGAAAAGTTGACTGTCTTGTAGCCGCAAGCCAGTAGTACATATAAAAGTTGAAAGGAGCTTAAACGAAGAAGAATTGAGAAAAGGAAAAAATAATATTTAAAACTGTCCGCTTTTTTCGACATTTTTTTGTAGCCCTCAAAATCCCAAAATAGGAGATTATCGATTTTCTGTGTACTGAACAGCTTCCAAATTCCTGCAAAAACTGTCAGCAGGAGGTCCACCCTTACGCTTACAGGAATGAGCAAAACTTTGGCGATTGCCTTATTCAAAGGAAATTTATGGGCCACAGAATGGTCAAAACCATCACTCATGTTGGGGCACCGAAATCTCAGTCTAAATAATTTCTAAGAAAACAGCAAAGCATGCATAACGTAGAAAATTTCTACTGCATATAGTAGTTAAATTTTCAAAAGAACGCGTTTACTCGCGCTCAAATTCTGGCCAAAAAAGTAAGTGCAATGAAATTCTGATTTCGAGTGCAGTTGTATGAAGGTCTATAAATTTTTAACGATTGAGGCTAGAAGATTCTTTCAACCGCCATTGAATAGAGCATGAAAGGAGCTTCTTTAGAGTGTGCTGAGTAAGTTTCATAGGAGAAACTTCGATGGAGAAAAGCTGTCTTGAAATAAGGGCTAGAAAAACGCGCATTACTTTTACACCAACCTAATATTTGATTGTAAATAACCTTTTGTTATGAAATGTTTCGATAAACTTCAGGCACCGTTTTGTAGAGCGAAATTAAACTTAGATGTACTGTATGGAGCGATTCATCTATCGCTCTTCATTAATGTAGGATTACGGTAAGAACTTCCAGCATATGGAACCATTATGAAATATACCACCAAACAAAATTTTTTTTTCAAAAAATCTGAAAAATCTTGTACTAGGATTTACGCGCATGTTGATTCAACCTAACAACTTTTTACAAATGTTTTCAGCTTTCTTGACGGTGTAATTACAATTGACAAATGCTGGGAATTGAGTCATCACGATTTACCTGGGATAACGTAAGAAAGAAACATAACAATAGGATGGTATTTTCAAACTCGAAATTAACGGCTCTCATTACCGTAGTATAAGGGGGTTTTTGGCTTGTTTTGTTTTGCTTCGAGGCAGAATATGGCCTCCAATGGCTAAAATCCTTGTCGAAGTTCGTACCGTGATCTTACAGTAATGAAGAGCGATAGATGATTCGCTCCATATTGTAAATTCAAGTTTAATCTCGCTCTACAAAATGGTACCAACGTTTTTGAAACACATCATTACAAGAGAATTATTTACAATCAAACAGTGGGTACATTTTTACAATCTGTGTAATAGTTTAGAATGCTTTTAGTTCTAGAACTACAATGATTGTGTTGCAGACACTGCGGTTATTTACTTAATGAATATGTTACGCCAAACGCACATGAATCGCAGAATAATTTCCTGTCTGTCATTAGCAAATAAATTATCATGAAATACCAAAATCCAAGGAAATCGCTATATTCCTGTTACGTAATAGTTACGTTAATCCATCTCTTGTTTGTGGAGCAGTAGGCAGGCTACAGTTCAAATGTTGGTATCAGACTAAAGCTGATGCCTTTCATCGTGATTATCTATCTTTCGACCGCAGCACAGTACAGCCAAATCTGTATAGAATTTCCTAAATAATCTACGCAAATCTATTGCGGAAGGTGTTTAGGCAATCAGGCATCACTTGCATCATCTGCCAAATTGTAAGTAATTAGTTTTCCTTTGACTTTTGTTTTTTTCTTCGCAGGGAGGATTTTGATAGCAGCAACAATCTTGACCCGCTCCTCTGACCCTTGAATACAACCGCCCATTTGCGACGTGTCACAGCCCACGTTCACCCTTGTACCAACTCATACCGTTCATCAACTCAAGTTCAGTGGTTATGACACTGACGCGTTGTATGTGTTCTGCGCCGCGAACTTCTGCGCATAGTCACTCTGAGACTGCCCTCCACTGGAATATCCGTCAACAGTAGTATTCAAAATCAGTTGTTCGATATATACGGACTATATGTATGCATGTTCCAATTAGTAAAGCATTTCGAAACCTTGTGCATGCGTGTGACATGATCAGTAATCATGCTGATTACGAATGCGATGCACAATTTTCGCATCGTCTTTATCGATTTTTCGCATCCCTCAAAGGGTTGAACCAGAGTGCGCGGCGCACGGGCGTACGTGACGTACACAGCGTAGCGCGGTATATTTCACCATAGGAGGCGTACGCCGCGTACGCCGCGCAGTCTGGCTCAACTTAAAGGTGAAGCAACGAAGTTGACACGCTGGTTAATGCTTACATACTAATGGCTTCGTACTCACTTGTAAAATTATCCAATGTCCACCAATTTTTACGCTTTCTCAAAGTGTAAACTGGGGGCGATGGGTTTGGTAGTGAGGGTAGATGCATGTCATTCGAAGGAAGACAGTGTTGGGGAAGCATAATGTTGAAGTGGAACGGACGAGCTCTGCCATGGTATATCGACAAGGGGAATAGCTCAAAATGTCTACTATTACATATCAATTACTTGCAAGGGAACGATAATCATCCGTGGCCTTTCGAGACGTAATTCATACCATTACACTCGTCTTCGAACGCCGATTCCGAATCTGCCTTCCGTTTCTGCTAACCGTTTCTCTAAAAGAAGTTATGGGGGAATTTCGAGCCAAGTTTGGCTGCTCAGGGGAAATAATGGTCATTGTAACGGCCTCTACCGCGGCCACCTTCTGGTTTAGTGGTTAGTGCGATAGCCCCTTATAAGTTAATGCAGGTATAGGTTCAAATCCTTTTCTGTTTTTACTTTTGCATTGCCTCAATTAAGCTTGTTTGAAAAAATTTACTTGAACTATGATCACTGGATACAATTTGGGGCAAATAGTAATCATTTTTTCCATATTTCCACGTTTTTTGAAGAGTAGTGAAGATTGTACAGTTAGCTTGATGATGCGAAAGAAGGTTAACCGAGGCAGTGCAAAACTGAAAAGCACAAAAAGATTCGAACCTGCACCTGCATCAACTCATGATGCTAACACACTTACCACTACACCACAGTGCGGTAGCGTTGACGCTTCGACCGTATTTCACTGGGCAGCCAAAATCCGCGCGATCCATCATAACATCTTTAGAGCGATTAGCAGAAACAGAAGTCAGATTCGGAATCAGTGTTCCAAGACGAGTGTAATGGTATACATCTCATCTCAAAAGGCCATAGACCGAGTATCGTTTTCTTGTTAGAACTTTCTATTGTTAGTATAGTTGTGCCTCAATATGGCCAATTTTCCAAAAGCTTATTTCTGACTTTGTAACTACGTTTTCACCATTCAATAAATATATAGAGAAGTAAATTGGTGTCTAAACACAGCCAAGTTTTCCTTTCAAGCAGACATCAATCGAATTTGTTGTCAACCAAATTGATTTTTTTTCATGAAAATTGCGAAGTTTTCTCACATTTGTGCACAGTAACAAAATTGGGGTTTCTCACATCATTGCGCATTTTCTTCATAACGATAGATTCTATTTGAATGGTTTTACGTTTTCCATCTCAATGAAATGCTCAGAGATACCAAACACAAAATATAATTTTGTCTGCTTTTGTAGGAGCTGCAAAGAGGCCAAGATAATACATTACCAACCTAATAAAGTACCAAAAGTTTTATTCGATTTACATAGATTGAAGAAAATCGTTTCAAAGCAAATTAAAATGTTCTCTGAACTTAGTATTTTTGAAGAAATCTACTTCGGCTAATGAAGCTGAATGGATTGTGAATTCTTGGCGACCTGATCCGTGACGGACTTTGCAAGCTTCGCCATCATTTTGCAACGCTGACCGTATCTGAAGCACACATTACGATTAAACGGAGGTGGTGCAAGAGGAGCCAAAGGGCGGCCTTCTGTATCCGCAGGAGATAATAAATAGCGCGCGAGTGTGGAGAATATTTTGGCAAGGATCCAAGAAAACTAGGAAAGGACATCCTTTAGGAACAAATCTTCATAAGTTTGCCTGAAGATGATCAAAAATTCAAAAAATAGATTTTTTAATGCAAATTGGAAGGCGCTTAACTGGGTCTAAAAGTAAGAGCAAATTGGGCTTGTAATAATAAGAAAAGTCAACTGCCTTAAAGAGACTTTTTCATGAATTTTGAATTTTCAAATTGTTGAAGAACGGAATATTCAAAATTCTTTCCTTTTTTGAGATAAAGGAACAGTTTGCCTTTCAAGCCAATAAACCAAAGCAATCAAAATGTCATTCAAAAAACATCTGGAGGCTTGTGCCAAGATGCAATATGCAGTATGTCTTATAAGTTCAAACCTATTTTAGTTCTAAATTTTGACACTAGGGACTTCATAGGATTCGCCAACAAAACTATGTCGTATCCTTTCAAGGCTGTACACAATAGCAAAAGTTAATCACATGCAGCTTAGTTAGCATTATTTCCTGATTACCACTCCTTACTTTCAAATATCCAGAAATTTCATCAAAAAGTGTATTCAAGATCTCCCATACAGCAATGAACTTGAAGTTCCTCAGCTTTCAATGGTGATTTTGAAGACTCAGTTTTTGCGTAAAATAAAACTCGAGTAGAAAAAGAGTTAGTTTTATTTATATGGTAGCCAGAGGTGCGATAGTGGGAGCCGATTCTCTTCCTACCTTCACTTTTGAAAGAAAAAATTTTTTCGCTGAACGATAAAGAAGGAAAATAAGCAAAACAAAGGCAAAAAGGATTATTTAAAGCATATTTTGAATAAATTTAATAATTTTAATAATTGATTAATAATTTTTGAATGTGAATACGGCGGCATATATATTGAAAATAAAGTGTTTAGTAAATGATGTGTTTTGAAGTGAAACTCAGCGTGACTGTATGATTTTATTAAGTGTCGTAACGTCACGTCTTGTCATAACGTACTGCGAAGAAAGTAGATCGATCCAGGCAGTAACGGCCGAGAACCAGAATTTCGAATGATAAAATAACGATAAATTATGCGAAATTTCCACTGTCACAAATGTGTTGTTTGAAGATGTCAGCAGTTGCGATTTTTATTGACAGCTGACAGTTAAACTCATATAAATTTCGAATGCGAAAGTGTGTAATGTTGCGACTTCATAGGTTTTAAAGAGTAAGGTTTGCCTTATTAGAATTTATCTTAGTTGTACCAATTCATTGAGATGCCGGAAATTCAGGCTCTTAAAAAACAGGAAAAAACTGCTCTTTGAACTTTAACGCTCATAACTTCTTCAGAACTGCAAGAATCATGTTGTGACTTCATAGGTTAGAGTCTTCTCATCAAGAGCTTTCAGATGATCTATAATATGTGGGGATTCAGGGCCCCCTACGAGTTATGCCCGGGGGGGGGAGGAGACTTTTCATCACAAAGTCTCCCCTGGCGGCCTCCCCCAATACATCGAAGTGGGGACTTTGGTATGAAAAGTCTCCCCCCCCCCCCAGGGCATGATTCGTAGGAGGTTCTAAACTCCCCACATATTATATATCACCAGAAAGCTCTTGATCAGAAGAATCTAACTAAGAAGTCGCAACATGATTCATCAGTTCTGAAGAAGTTATGAGTCTTTGAATTTAAAAGAGCGTTTTTTTCCTGTTTCTTTGAGAGCCTGAATCTCAGCGGTATCTCAATGGATTGGTACGGCTAAGATAAATTCTGATAAGGCAAACCTTACTCTATAAAACCTATGAAGTCGCAACATTACACACTTTCGCATTCGAGATTTATATGAGTTTAACTGTCAGCTGTCAATAAACACGCAAAAATGGCGTAAATTTTTAGCATTCTGGTTTTCGACATCTCTCAAATCGACTCGATTCTTTCACTATTTGATAGGGCATTTACTCTTCAAAATCTATAAAGTTGCAATTGCTGACATCTTCAACCACCAGATTTATGACAGTGGATTCGAAATTCTGGTTCTCGGCCGTGACTGCCTGGATCGACCTCTTTCTTCGCATACGTTATAACAAAATTTACTTTTAAAATCGTACAGTCACGCTGAGTTTCACTTCGAAACACATCATTTACTAAGCACGTTTATTTCAAATATATAAGCCGCCGTAAGCACAAAAATATGCTTTCAATAATCTTTTTTGCGTTTGTTTTGCTTATTTTCCGCGCACTGGCGGCAACGACTTGGAAGGATAGGCTCAGTCGACGTTAACGTCCCCCCCCCCCCGTCGACGTTTTTGGGAGGTGAGTGTCCGGCACTATCACCTTCACTTTTGGCCGGCCAGTGATAGCTGGGACTACCTTCACTTTTGGTGGGCCCGGCTCCCCCATCACACTTCTGATGGTAGCCCTATTGTTGAAAAATGTGCATAATACAAATTCCAAATCCGACTTTGTTCCGTTGAAAGTTGATTCTAAGAAGAGCTAAAAGGGTGTGTTTCTGATAGATGTTCTCGCCAAGTTTTCCTGAATCTTCGCCATAATCTTCTCAACAGCTCTAGCGCTCCTAATTATATCCTACGGCTACAGGCGGCAGGCCTTTAGTCCCTCCGGTGCCGCATCCCAACTAAAAAGTACTGCGGAAGTAGTAAAAGTTAAACTTCTTTTAGCATTCGTGAAAATGGCTTACCGAATTTAGCACATTAAAGAGTAAATGCATGCATGGATTTGCAGAGGCACTCCTCCCGTCCTCAGAGAATCGAAGATTCCAAGTTGGGACATGTTCAATCTGTAAGTTCAACATACAACATGAGCAGTTTTGCCACGTTTCTTACCTTTGTGACTATTCCATCATCATGGTGATATCCCACGTAAGTGTCAGCAATACCCACTAAGAACGATTGCAAATAACATGAGAAATCTTTGGCAAAATGATGTTTTTGAGCATAACGGCGAGTCTTTAACTCCACCATCTTCCCGTCTAAAAGAAATTTGTAGTGAGATTACCAAAGCAGAAGCAACAAAGGCTTGGCACAAGGTGTCTGGCAATGTCTTGGAAACAAATCGCCGTTAACTTCGCAACAACTACAAGATTCCGCTATAACACCTCATAAATGAATTATGAATAACAAAGAAGATAATGACAGAAAAAGAACACTAAACAATTGCTTGAAAAAACCACTGCAACTAGGTTTGCAAGTTCTCTCTTCATCCTGGACATTCTGGTGTAGTAGCGGATTTGCGGACTGGCGGTGAGTCAGCGCCTAACCTCAGTTCTAGCCATTTGCTTTATGACCAGAATTGAGGAACCAGTATTGGCACGCTTACCACTGATGATATACTTTCGCCACCGATGATTGCGGTATAAAGTGACAAAGTCCAAAATGGACGAATGCCTCGTAGTTCTAAAACAGCAGCACAGTGTATCAAGCTTACGCATGAACAATGGATGGCTTTCCTTAAGGGACCCTGTGATTAACGTCCTTTTCTAATGCTATTGGCTCAGCAATAAACGATGAGTGGTACGAGCACAACTACAGGATGAAGTCTCGAAGAGATGTCAGGTAACTTTCGTCATTTCGAAAAGCTACGGCACGTCATTCTAACGCGAGTTATCGATTTTTTCTGTGCAACTTTGCATACTCTTTGGACCTACTGGGATAACGGTGTCATCACCTAATTGCTAATTAACTGTATAAAGTCTCTTGTCAATTACAAAAGGCTCAAACTGATATAATTTGAGTATCTCAGAACCTTTTTAGGCAGATTCTCAGCAACAGGCAGCCTTACCATATGGAAAAGTATGGCAATTATGCACAAGAAAAGCCCATGACTTCTTTCAAGATAATGCGCCGCAGCTAGGAACATACTTGGAATCAGCATTCAAAGCTAATTCTAAGTATGTGTGTCTCGTCTCGAAACGCCAATTAAGTTGACTGACATTTCTTGGTAGTGGTAAACAGAGTCAAGCAAGGGGTGTAGCAGACGATCGCTGGTTCCCCTCCCCTGAATGCTGCCTTATTACCCCCCCCCCTAAATTGTATACCTAAGATAGCATTACCTGAAGGCCCTGTCAAGCATATGGGCAACAATGGGCAACATATCCATAATGAGCATGTCAATTAACCCCTGTAGACAAAGTTCGAGCGAATTCTGAAGATTCAAGATACTAGGCTACCTAAGTAAAATGGTGATATTTCAACATGGTTAACTTTGTTTCAAAGGTGAATTAGCTATCTGTTTTTGCACTCAAGATGAAGCACTACTCCTTCTTTGTTCAACTCAGAAGTCCCGCTTCAAAAGAGCTCCAAACTGTGAAATTAGAGGTCATCCAAAAGCACGTTTTTCCCAAATTCCGCTTTTGATGGCTGTGCTTTTACCAGCTATTATTCGAGCAAAGAAAACGAATCAGGCACAAATCACTCCTGTGAAAACTAGGAGATCTAGGCTATCGATCCGTTTGAAAACGGTTTGCTGAAAATGTTTTTATGACATAGTTAATGGGGTGTGGAGCACCCCATTAAAAGCTGTGGCTGCCACAGCTTACAAGGGGGTGTGCCACACCCCATTAACTATATAAAAAACATTTTTAGCGAACAGTATTTACATAGATCGATAGCCGAAACCTCGTAGATTCCATAGGGATGTTTTGAGCGTGATTCGTCTTCTTAGCTCTGAGTAATATTTGGTGAAAGCACAGCCATTAAAAGCGAAAAATGGGAAAAACGTGCTTTCGGATGACCTCTAATTTCACAGTTTGGAGGTCTTTTGAAGCGGGACTTCTGAGATGAACAAAGAAGGAGTAGTGCTTTGTCTTGAGTGCAAAAACAGATAGCTAATTCACCTTTGAAACAAAGTTAACCATGTTGGAATATCACATTTCACTTAGGTAGCCTAATATCTTGAATCTTCAGAATTCGCTCAAACTTTGTCTACAGGAGTTAATTGACATGCTAATCATGGATATGGTACGAGTATCATGTTATCACTATTATCAGATTACCCAACTACGATCCCTCCCCTTCTGACTCCTCAATACGACCCCCAGGTGTGGCGTGCCACACCCCACGCTTGAACCTGGTGGTAACATTTGAGTGACAACATCAAACAGTCAGGGAGGAATAGATTGCATGATGTCGATGTCTTCTGGAAAATTGCATTGTTTGCCCACATGCAAATATAGGCGACTGCGAGAAAAAAGGGTGTACCAATTAGAGTGTCTTGCCAGTGAGCTGTCGGGCTTTACATATTGGAAGGGTAGAATGTTGGAGATGAGATTTGAGGAGCATACATTGAATAAAGGACGGGCGAATGCTTTTTTACCATTGAAAAACATAAGAGAGAAACACAGTGAATATGATACAAAATGCACAATTCTGTTATACGAAGAAGAAAATGTGGTGCGAAAAAGTGTGGAAGCGGCCGAATTTCCCTTAAAAATCAAGCATGAGTAACAAAAATAATTGCTTGTTGATGGCGACAAAACTTCTGCCATATCTATCGATAAGTGAAATACAGCTCGCACATATATACAAAAGGCTGAGCTCACTAGCTGCGGATCAAAGGTTAGTTTCTACACCGGCATGCGTCTAAGGTTGCGCGATTCGAAGTCTAGACTCATGCGTGGCAATGGCGTTTGCCGGTCTTGTCCCAAAAATGCAAACTGTTTTCTGCTTCACATTTCTAAATACGACGACTTTGTTGAAAGTAAGGACAAAGAAACGATACCACCGTATCAACCTAAGTCCGGTATGCTAATACAAGAACTACTAAAGTTGCATTTCCCGATTTCGCCGTGTTGTGTTCTGCGCGAACCACCTCGAGCCTGGAACAGGATTGCCGCCTTGAATGGTTGCAGTCAGGCGGGGAGAAGGGGGTTTGGGAGACTTGAGCCCCAACTCAAAGGGATTTGGATCTAGATCGAAGACATTTAAAAAGTGCAAATGAAGTGAAAAAACTAAAATTTATGGCTTTGTTTTCTATGATCCTTTCGAGTGGCGCTCACAAGGGAAGTTCGCTTGGTCGAAGTGACGATTCGGAAGATGATTATACTTATGGATTAATGCTGACGTCGGATACCTCTTCTATATCTACTATGCGAAAAAAGTTATGAGTATTACTTACACCAATTTTTCGTGCATTTTTAGTCGTAAAATTACGGTAGTTTTCACACAAAAATATGAAAACTCAGGCAAAGCACCTAATAAACATTGTAGGTTTAGTCAACATCTGAACGTTTTCGGGTGTTGTACATCCGTGTTGTTATTCACAGGCCGTAATTTTCCTTCTAGACCGCACTTCTATTATAAATACAAAAAAACCCATGATTTTCTACAAGAAAACGTTTCGCAGATTTAGAAGCTATATCTGAGATAAGCGTTTTAAGTTCTATCCGTAAACATAAATCACCTTCCGAATCGTCATTTCGACAAAGCGAGCTTTCCTTGTCAGAAGCCACCTGACTTCAAAAAATACTGCGTCCTAAGTACACATTTCGTAAACTTTCATATTAGTTCTAAGTCATCATTGCTCACCTACCAGTTTTGATGTTATATTATATCCATTTGCTGTAAACAAGCTTTTTTTATTCAAGGCACATTTTTGAATTTCAGCCTTTCCACGGAGAGCTACTGGAGCTGAATCTGCAGAGAATGGGATTGGTAAAGCAGTGATAGCACTCCCGACGTCCCCAAATAAAGGAGGAGATGGAAAAGGGGAGGGGGGGGGGGGGAAGAATAGGATTAAGATCGGGAGTATGCATGTGTATAATTCATGTGACATTAGCGATGGAGCAAGTCGTGTTCTAAAGGAGAGGGCTGCAAAAAATTGTGGGGTTAGCGAGCAAAAATTCGTCACTTCCTCTTGGTTTGCTTTGCTCATTTATATTATCCCGATTATCCCGAAAGTTTTTTCATTTGTCAGTTTTTTTCATCGTTCACTGAAACTCATAGAGCAGCAGTTCATCGACGACCTAGGTATCATTTGATTCAGATTTTCATCCTCTTTCTTATATTTGCTCTCTATTCTCATGTCTTTGCAACGTTATCGCCGTGGCTTTGAGCTCAGCAGTAACGCCAAATCCTTCCTGAATTTTAGAAAATTCTATCCTGAAGATTTCAAAGAGCCTGGTAACTGTTATGTAGAGCAAGCATTTGGCTACATTGTTTTCATTTTAGATTACATGGGCCACGTTTACCAAGTCCGTTATAATTGTTTATAACAAAAACTGCGGCTTTTTGATTACGTTTACCACGTAAAGGAAATTGGGAGAATCTAAGAATACAATCATGTAGTCCGAGATTTGCTCTATTTAATACCTACTTAATTCTTTCCGAAACTTTGGAATGAAATTTTCAAAAATTAGCTCTAACTTTGAGCAGATGAAGTTGATGGCTCGAAAATTTTCGCAATTATCAAAAAAAGCATACAGTTTTTTTTTCGAAAATGTACCCTTAAGAAAGAAAAGGAAAAGCTGCATGGAATGCATGTAGAGATTCATTCAGGTATTCATTGTGTGCGGTTTTATAGTGGTTTGAAAAAACGGGCAAAACTTTCGGGACAACCTAATATATAAATCTGTTTTGGATTATCTTGTGTGATCGAGGGGGGGGGGGGCATCGCCCGTTTGATAAGGACACAGTGAACGATCAGACTCGGGCTCAACGAGCTTCATCGCGGGAAGGTGCGCATTACCGTGCGCACCTTTGCGCGATGAAGCTCAGACGATATTGGGTAAGTCACAGCACGTACTAACTTACTCGATTTCGTCGAGGGTGTGAGAACTTAAAATAGCGCGTGTATCTAGTTGCTAACTTGGTAAATTACATCTTCTACTCACCAAAATTGACAACTGCTTGATTCGACAAACTTGGCAACTTGCTGCAAAATATTGATTTTAAGATTTGATTTCATTTGATCTTAAGATTAGTCAGGGATTTACAACCTAGTCAGCAACGCATGCTAACTTACCCGATCACGTCTAGCTACTAAATTATGTGAAACAACAGCGCGCATATTTAGGTGCTCGTTAACGTGATAGATTCACAATTTCCTCATTAGCAAATGAGACTTGACATTTTGCTGCAGGAGATTTTTCGATTTAAAATTTGATTTGATTTGATATTGAGATTTGTGAAAGATTTGGAACTCAATGTGAAGAAATCAGGCTCTACAGCCCATTTGAATTAAGCTGATAGGACTCACAGCTCGCTTGGAAGAAAGGCTTTGCACTCAAGGAGAGTAAATTTAGAGTCAAAGATGCCTGCTCAAAAGTGTATGTTTTTCCAAAAAGCCAGATAAGTTGAATGCGTTCTCGCAGTTTGGGAGATCGATATATAGCGTCCCAGAAACTACAGGGTGGGGCAAAAGTCTGGGAGCCTAGTACTTTCTGGTACAAAACGAGAAGGGAAGTACCTAGAAGCGAAAAATTTGGCGCACACATAATTCGAACCACTGCAGATACTGCCCAGTTCTTGAATTGCAAAACTGCCTCTTTTGGCTTCCACGCAGCCCTACAAAATCTTGGCAAGTCCACCTGTCATGGCACGCAGGTAGTCGTAATGGAATCCGCCCACGCTCAAATGCGCAGCGTGATAGAGCAAACTTTTGTCTACAATATACTTCCAAAAGAATTTTCTGCGTTGCTTACGAATAAAAATATTGGATTTTCAATTAGAAGCATGTGTGCGTCGCATACCGGAATTTCGGCTACAATTGCGCGAATAAAAACTTAAAATTATCGCTTTAAAAGTATAAAAAGTGTTTCCATGGCCGAATTTCAACAGATTCTAATTTAGAAGATGTATGCAAAAAATACAGCCTTGGTCCCAGTGCCTGTTAAGCATTCTATAGCTTTTAAATTTGTTATGAAGACGGATCTCCACTGGCACGTAGGTAACATTCGCAAACTTTTATTATCCATTCATGCAAGAACAGCTCCTGGCAAAAGCAAAACTAGGATATAATAGCGCAAAGCCTCTTCTATGTTGTATGCATCGAAGTTTTGTAAAATATGAACAGCACCTCTAGCTACAGCAAATATTGTAAATACTAAAAATTCTGGTTTTTTCGCTATGCAAAAGTACTAGTTTGGTAATTTCCATTCTTACAAAAACATATGGCAGCCATTTCCAGCCAAATAAAGTGTATCCTATAGAGGATGACCGCAGCATCATGTGGCATAAAATTGAAATCAAAATCATCGTATCTTTGTAACTGCAGTACTTCAAAGTTAGGCTCCCAGACTTTTGCCGCACCCTGTATATGGAATTGCTTTTGAAAGAGAAGCGATTGGCGATTATTACATATACAGCATCTAAGCTAACAGATGCATTTCCTCAGAGCTCAGCATCGGAAGTAAAAACGCCGTTACTTTTATTTTCAAACCTACAGATTGCTCCATAAGCCATCTGTGTCGAGCTCTAGAAGTAACGACTGCTACGCACCTGATTTGATTGCATCAACACTCCCGTTGAAGACTAGTTTTAGGGGGTTCCCACACTCGAGTCCCAGCGTCGAGCGAAACACTGCCACGTGCTCTTCACGAGTGACAGGCTCATTTGTTCTCGGCTCTTCCTGAAGAAAGGAAATCAAAGTCATTTGTGACCAGACGGTAATGAAGTTTACAGCTCTGCGTAAATCTTTTCCAACAAATTCAGAGTAAAAAAACGCGACAAAAGTACTCAAAAGCCATTTCTATCTCTTTTTGAATTTAATAAAGAATCTAAAAATCAAACAGTTAATTTTCATCAACATTTTAATTCATTTTACATCAAAATATTGAACGTAACTTACATTCAACTCATTCACTGTCATATATTGCTCAAATTTGAGACCACGATACCAGTACGGCACCAGATCTTTTGATTCGGTATGCCAGCTTGTATAACGTTCTTGTTCGCAAAGAAAAACCACGTTATTAAAACGAATTGCAGAAAATTCCCAATCATCTTCACTGTGGATATACGCAGTGAGTGCTATTCGTTTCAATAGCCCACGACAGCATACAATGTCAGCATCATGCAGTACCTAGGCAAAGAAACGTTGTCTTTGCTCTTTCAGTTCTGGTTATGCAGCACTTCTTTTGCAGAGCTTCCCTTGGGTGCTTCCATTCCAATGGTGGTAATAATCCACTTCCAAAAAATATCGAGTCTTTCATCGGCCTTCAATGAAATATACGTGATCAAACTCTAGCGTACGCCCTAGCATCTCAAAGAGTACATAATTTTCTTCCAGCTGTCTCCTTTCATATTTGTCTTTCTCATTCTCCATATAAGCGTCGAATCCTTGATTGAGATCATATGACACATCATCTAATCCACGATCCAAGCCTTCTTCATTATAGAGATATTTTGCTCGGGATGACACCAAATCTCGATCGCAGGTCACCTAGGCACCAATCCTTGGAAATAAGAAGCCACTCGGCATCGAAGATGTGTTAATCGTACCGTATACTCGCCAATCGTTTGCTGTATTTTGTATTTGGCATAATCTACAGGCCTTCTCCTGATATCTTGTCTTATATCTATCAATTTGGATGAAATCGGAGGTGCCAAGAGAATATCTACACTTTCATCGGATGTTGCTGAAATGCAGAAATGTAATATTTTCAGTTCTGAGAATTTGGTTTAGTCGATTGCTAGTATAGCATTCAACAAACAAATTGAGCCTTTTTTTACGCCATCAAGCTATTGAGTTGTAGATGGCAAATAACACTGAATCAAGATTATGGAAATGTTGATTGAAAAGCCAAGGTCTGCCAATTCACCTTGCACAGTGGGAGAAGAACTGTCGTTTTGCACCACCATTAGTATCAGGAAAGTCAATGGAACAGCGAGAATAGTGTTGAGGGAGGGGATGGCGTCGTTTTTTAGCGCTTTATAGCGTCGAGAACGGATAACGAAAATGCTGATGCAGAAATGTTGTCGGCATTATGACGCATTGCTTACAAGATATCGCCGTTGGTCTTCTCCGCCTATTTACTGTTCATTACCTATCAGCTCAAGCTACGGTATTGCTAAAGACCTTTGAAATTTGTCAATGCCATTTCGAAATGCGATTTTGCCATATGCGCTACGCCAAACTTTCCCATAAAGCTGACAAGCATCTTGAGAACGAGAGAATATGATCACAGGAGTGTAACAGTCCTATGGTACGTAGCATAAATCTGTCTGCTTGGATCGAGCTTCAAATGTTGCATCGAAGGAGAATTCGTAGTGCACAAAGTTATGAATTATGGAACGGCACTTTGTGAAGATGTGGTAGAGGAAGCGTTAAGAATGCTTAAACTAGAGTTTTTTGTAATAAAATTATTCACCACACTTTATTCTTCAAACTTGGTCGAAACTTTCATTAAAAGAGTTTCGATGCCTAGAAAAAAGTTTCATCAATTTGGAGCAAATCTGCATTGTGTACTACGTACATTTGAATTGAATCATGGACAAGTCATAAAATTGATCATTGATTAGATCATTGATTAGAAAATGAAGGCTTACAAGTTTAAAGCTTTCTAACTTTCGAAGTGCGATTCGTTTTTTTACCACTCTCTTCAGTGGTTTTCAAAGCTACGTTAGGGTCATCTATCCAGTTAATTTAGGGCACAGGAATAGTAAAACTTGCGGAACAGATAATGAATTTTTCATTCTCGACGTCACAAAGCATCCCACTTTTAACAAGTAGACAGTAAGCGCTTGCACTTCACCCTATCTCACAACACACTAGTGAGTGATCGTACTGTCATCGTTCTAAGTACTTTAGCTCAACTCTGAGGTCTTAATGTCTAAAAAAATCAAATTGTTCTTGAAAATGGTAATGGTAAAATGAAAATATTAGGTTGGCTAATAAATAAGTTCGTTTTGACATGCAAATTCAATGCTTCATAGCAATTCACGTAACAGCTATTCAGCTAAGATGTTTTCGTGAGAAGATAGCCTGAAGACTCTACTCTTGAATGTTAAATAGTCGAGATTTCCTGTTACCAAAAAATGACAGTCGACAATGACTAATCTCATATGGTCAGACTTCTAAAAAATCGCTATTTTGAATTTCTAGCTTTCGTTCTCAGCCTACAGTGAGTACACAGGCGAATAATTTGGTGGCTGGATACATACAGCCTCTGGCTAGGTGGCGAACCGCAATAGGGGTTGTGACCGGCTGTTTCTTAATTTCTGTAGTCAAAACTGAGAAAATTTCCAGGCATTTGCGCGTGATGGTCAAATTTTGGGCATTCCAGATAATTTTGGCCATCTATGACCATGCAAATGGTTGAAAATTCAAAAATTTGTTGTGTGGTTAGCGAATCTACACTTTAGACCTGACTTCAGTTCGTTTTTTGGAACGTGATTTTTCGAAATTTTGCGAGAAAAATCTGACCAATTTTTTTTCCTCCACCATTTCATTATCAGAGAAATTATTTTTGAGGAAATAGAGTCAACCATCCGATTCTCGTTGATTTGCTCTTTCCAACGGTACCATATATACACACAAAACCTGATTTGTGGCAATTCTACAAACCGCTAAAAACGACCGAACTTATTTTTTAGCCAACCTAATAGATAGGTCACTTGATTGCATGAATGAGCTCAGATTTGATAGGTCATAGTAGGCTTGTTTCTATGTTCCAGTTGGCTAGAAGCAACATTTCTTTCTTAAGAAACTGAATTTTGGATATTTTGTGTCAATAGTAAAGATGTTTCGTACCTTACAGAAGACCGCTAATTTACTATGGACTTTTCCATCAAACAAAAAAGGCACTCGAATACCAGAGTTATCTCTACTGCATGGCAGCACGACCATCGGTAGCACTGGCCGAACAACTTTTAGAAGAACTGTTTAACATAAGGTCGTCATCTCGGATTTAGCATTTTAACCCGGAAATTCAAAGAATTTGCACATCTTTGCACCTACAATTGAAGAATTACCGTTGGTAATCATTGTTGACTTTTCATAGACGTTTTTAGTTAGATACCTATCATGCTAATTTGACACTACCTAAGATATTTGCTGAATTACTGCGCACATTTTTCTTAAATTGTGAATAGCAATTGAACACTAGGAAAAGTACTTCTCTTAGCTCTGAGGAATTCACGTTCAACGAAAACGCAATTACATCCTTCAGATTTCTCAATAAATGATTTCTTAATATCATCATCTCCGGTGCTTAGAGTTTTCACTCAAAAGTTTCAAATAATGCGAATGTTCTAGTTCTATGAGAATATCCAAATCGATGCATCTTGGTACAACGCCTTTCTCGACGAATCACGTAGCATAAGGAAGACAGTCGGTGTACTGTAAATGCAGTGGTGAGTTTTATCTAGAGAATGTTGACTTTTCCGTGAAACGCCTTGGTCGTCAATATGTAATCATCTGTTCGCGCTCTGCTACTGTCCGATCAATCTAAAATGAGAGTGCTATGTGTAAACATTTTTACGGAACAAAAATTTGTAGAGTCAACTCCGATTCGTCACTTCGTTAGGAGAGTTTACTTTGGCAGCTCTGTTATCTAATCTTTTAAGCAGAATTGCGAAAAGATAACACGCTCACGCTATTCAGTTCGCGAACAAAGCACAAAAAACAGAGTTTATTTTTTTGCGAAAAAAAATAGTAGTGCTGAATTGTATCGGGGAGCTGACAATCACTTGCAAAAGATTATTAAAACTCAATACTTAATCAAATGTTAGTTATCTTTCAAAAGTCTTCATAATGTTAGTGGTAAATCATCTTTATTGTGAAATCTAAATGGATAAGCTGAGTGGTGGTATCAGCGCACAAAGTCGTTCGTATTCGTTTGAAGCAGGGTTTAAGGCAATCGCACCATTTGAGAAGCCTTTTCAAACTGGAACTTGAAAAACTTTTTCTGTGTGGCTATAAATTTAGCAATACAACTAATCCGGTAAAAAATGGATGATTTCGTTGCTCCTTTCAGTGCAGTTTGTAAGAATGCGAACCGTACCAAAACTCTAGAGAAATTGTATGCTGCAAATACGCACAGAGAATTCCAAAAAATCTCTGTTCTGTTTAGAACTCTCCTTTTTTAATGTTTTCCACCCACTCTAAGCGTTGTTTATAGAGCTGACATTCACTCAGAATTACAGTTCCAAGTATAACGACGTCCTCTCGTCATTGTAGAATTACGGTAAGAATTTTTAGCATTCTATCTTACACATTAGCTGCAATTTCAGAGAATTCAAATTTTTTGCGCTTCAAAATTTTTAAAAACGTGATTCCATCAAAGTAACTTCATACAGGTTTGTAAAGCAGTTTGAGTGTTGCCTTCAAGTATTCGATCATTTCGGAAACATTTGTTCTAAGTGTATGTTTGGAGTGCTTTTCTGGCGTACCTATCGGACTAAAATCCGCTTCATACGTACTTTTTTTGATCAACGACTCCGATTTTTCCGAGCTGCGCCCACTTACACATACTACTCACCAAATGTGGACCTGGAAAGCTTCGAAGAAGCCTCATTTTCGCCATTTTCGTGCGCTGAAAAGCCCAAATATGGATTCCTCATGGCGGGAAGGCCTCAAAAGGTGAAAAACTGAAAAATGAAATTTTGTCGGGACACCCATCTTCCTCTTTTACTGTTCTAGTGACAGAGCTGAACTGCGTTCACTCCTTACCGACGCGTAGTGCAATACTGTGGGTGCACGTGATGTTGGCATCTAGTCATTATTCTAACTCAAACACTTAGGTCTCTAAACAAATCGACTTAATTCTTGGACAAACATCTTCAGCCACATGAAATGCTCTAGCTGTTTTTTCTTGTGGGGGGGGGGGGGCTCTTAAAGGCAGCATCTGGGCAGATTCGAATATCTTCGGATGCTATCATAAGCGAGTACTAGGGCTTCGATCTAGAAATATCGCGCAAATCCGACTTTCAAACAGCCTCTGTAAAATCAGAAAATCGGCCGGAAAACACCGAACCCCGAGGACCACGCCCACTACCTCGCACGATCTGCCTTTTTGAACGAACACTCCTCGCCCTTGACGTGTTTTCAAGTAGCAAACACAATTGAACACATAGTGTGTACATTGTTAATGCTTTTCGACAAGAACAACATTAGGAAAACTCGTCCACGGTTCTCACAAAATCGTCTAAAAATGGAGTTTTTTTAGGGATTTAACTTTTGAGTGCCATATTTGGAATTAGCGCCATGAAAAGGTCTGGATAAGGCAAGAAATAAAACAGAAGTCGAGATTCTGCAGACGCTGCCTCCAACATCAGTTTCAAGAAGGAAAATTAATTTTAAACCTTTCTATTAATGTTTTGAGCAGAACATTACGCTAATTTGATGTTACTCCAGATAATTATCAGTTTATTGTGGACATTGAAGCATATATCTGACGCATCACAAAGTGCCTCTCGTAGAATGCTTTTTTCGGTGAAACAGCGCCATAAAAGGAGACTGGTTTCCGTGAGCTCATTACAAAGTTCTGCTTCGATCCTGTCCCATGCATTTGAATAAATTGAGTGCTTTGTAAAAACACTTGTTGCCTGAAAAGGTCTTGTGAGCGCATTTGGGCTCGACATTATGTTGACAAAGATTATTGCTAGCAGTTATCTAATCTGAAGCAAAGTTGCGAAAAGATGACACTACATGGTGTGATTGTTGTCAACTCGTTATCTTCGTCGCAAAAGCATCTGATAAGCCTTGTTTGTCTTTCATGAAATTGAAAAGTAGTATCCGCTATATCTAGAGGCGTCCTGATCGCTTGTTAAAATAAAAATTGGAACCGCTTTACTCGTAGAATGTGGCTGAAGCTATGCCCTTTATTGAATAACATCTGTCCCAGTTCTAGAATTTTTTT